CAAATACTATTAAATTCATTCTTAATGACTTGGATATTGAAAATTAAAATAAATTCCAGATATGAGGTAGCTTGATAACTTACATTTTATCTAAGACCTATTCATTCAATAAATCAGCCCTTTGCTTTATACCAGGCATTCTGAACTACAGATTAGCAAAGTCAATTACTGCCTTCTAGTAACAAATAGCAGTTTCCAAATTAAATTTGTTGGCACAAAAATATGTCAATAGAAAAATGTTATCATTCCATAAATATTCTGAACTGATTATTGCTGTGTTTCATCTGCCCAAATCACAAATCATTCTGTTTCTACATTCTTGTTGATTCATTTCCTGACAATCGAAGATGTTTTAGAAATAGCTAAATCACACTTCAGTAGGAATTTTCTGTGCATCAACCTTTTTGAATGTCCCACCTGACTGTATTTAAAACTGACTGTTGACCAAAAAAAAAAAAAAAATCTCTAGGGAGTATCTGGGAATGGAGAGAAAAGAACATGTGATCAGGTTAGAATCCACCAAAACAAGCAATGGCAACATACATATAATTTTCAAAAACTGCTCCACTCGCAGAAAATACACATCTAAATCATCCTGCCTCATGAAAAATGTAATAGAAAAATTTTTAAAGAAATGCTTATTTTAAACAGTAATTTGCAGATGATATCTCAAATAGAATTAAAGTTTATCCCAGAAGTTTAATTTCAGGACAATAGCTTTTATCATTTAAATATTTTGGACACATGATATAGATTGCCATATATTACTTTGAACACAAAACAATTAACAAACTCACACATCGAATATATACGTCGTAGTCTTGAGCAACTGGACCTTTCACACGCAACTGCCTGCATTCTTCAGGAAAGTGCCCAGGTTTAGGGAAGAACGAAAAACTAATTATGCTTGCTAAGGCTGACTTAGCTTGGTTATTACGCTGATTTTGTCATCTGATTGAGCTGATTTTTTAAAAAAAATCACCATCCACAGAACACTGCCTCTGCCAAAGAAACCCCAACCATACACCTTCCACTGAACAATAAGAATGAATGTGTTCGGCTGCAACCCCTGTCTCTAAAAAATGTCTGAGAATAGTGATGTGTAGCTCTGAAGGAAGACTAGGGGATTTAAATTGGGACATGACCGCATGGGCCATAGATCATATAGACGGGGCCACAACCATCCCTCTGCTGCCCCTTTCTCAGCTGTTTCTAAGTGAAGAAGAGTCAATGAAGGTTGCTCTTAGAGCCCACTGTCTATTTTTCCAGCGTGTTGTTTATGTGTGAATAGAAAGTTGTGATTAGTTGTTATAAAAATACACCATGTCATTAATCTCAATCTCATTTTCTCTTTTAGTTTTTTAACTGAAGTCCACAGAAAGCCCGTGCATCACTCACGTTTCAATCAACATTCAAAAATACAATCACTCCTTTCAAAATCTCCACAAATAGTGAAGTAGTTGCTAAACACAGGAGGAAAATTTTTTTTGAAATATTTTAAGCATTCCCCCCCCACACATGTTGACCTCTTCTGTTAATGGGAGAAGTAGAAGTTAAGGCACCACTTAGCCTCATGGTATTTTTAAAGAGAAACATTATGCAACATTTCAATAATAGCAAAGAGTAGGCAATTATAAAATTAGGAAATATTACTAGTTTTTGAAGCAAATGATGGAATTCCAGACTCTCTATAAATTAGTAATTATGTAAGGCCAGTAATAATCAAGTATTTAGAATCATCACCCAAACATGTAAATGACCACTAACTTAAGCCGGATATTCAGTGCTTTAAATGATCCCAATCATCAGATTTGATGTGATTGTCTATACTGAAGTCAAACACAGACTAGATTTCATAAGAAACTCAAACTTTTTGCTTATTTAGACCAATGTGGAATAAGAATAAACTTAGAGCTTCCTACTAAACTTTCTAGCCTAATACTCACAAGACAGATATCTCAGGAGATGGGAAGATAGTCAGGTCGACAAACATACCTGAACACATAAACAAGAGAAAATTCAGGTTTTTTAGAAAAAAATTTGAGCACCAAAGAAGAGATCCCTTTGCTGATCTTGACTTTGAGAGAAGAATAGACAGATAGGCATAAATCATCATTGTTCAAATATACAATAGGTCAGGTTGCTGGTAAAATAAGCCCTACCATGTTTAAAAACTATATCACATAGCAATATTTACTTTATGATAATTTAAAAATTAAACCAGTATTAAGTGAAAAATGCAACAAGTGTAAATCAACCATTCTTTTATATGAAAAGGACTTCAACTTGGAGAACATTATTCTTTTATTCACTATTAACTAAAATTTAAATCAAAGCACAACATTTAAAAATTACTTGGTTACCTAATTTATAGTTACATGTTGGGCATTTGGAAATATGATAGTTAAAATACTGCACTTAATTCTATGGAGAAAGTCTTACAAATGCATTACAAATTGTAATTAATTTTTTGATGTTCAAGATGTATTGCATTAACGAAATGACAAAATATTCCCATCGGCCGTTTACATGAAAAGTACCTCCTTTTACTTTGCACATACTTTCTCCAAAACAACAAAGGTTGGTGTCTCACATGCTTCACTTATTTACTTTTGTTATTGCGAATCCAAGATCACCTCACATATACTAATCTTTTATGGCAGAGGTCAGTGAAGTTGTGTCAAAATTCAATAATGCTGTTCTATCTAGTATAGCAATACATTTATCTCATCGCTGGAATTTAGATCATGTAGAACAAAGCATTTCATTTAAATGATGAAACATTCATCAAGAATGCCCTCTTGCAAACACTTCTCACATTTTAAAAATTGTGGATAAAATACTGCAGTTGTAAAGCCTTCTTTTCAATACAAAATTAAAGTTAACACTTAATTATGTAATATCTCTTTTAATTAGGGGACAGAAAGCATTTTATGTGCCTGTTGCATAATTGAAACAAACAAAAGCTCTGTCACATTTAAAATGGTAAAGGTGCATAATCTAAACTGACAAATACAAACGAATTTCACTTTTTCTGAAGAGTGAAGAAGTTTCTACTTATAACGTGGAATAGGTTTTAATATTCCCAAAAGGATGGAAAAAATGACAAATGAAACAAATTCAAGCTGTTAAAATAGAACAGATTTAACAAAAAGTTTTAACTATTTTTTATTTTTTAAAGTAATTTGGATTCTGAATATTGTTTTTAAAATGTTAACTCACCGAAAGAAATGTAATCAGTATTTTGCATTTATGGTCCCAAGTAAAATTAGCTAATAATTCTGCCAAAAAGCCTACACCACTGAAATGCTCAATTACAATTCATAGCTTTAGCAAAAGAAAGTAAATACCTTAGGATTTATCGTAAAGAGTATGACAAATTCTTCTCTATACTTACTTTTTATACCTCAACTCAAAAATATTTTTCAGTTAATCATGTACAATTAAGTTTTTTTCTGAACTCACTAACATATATGTGTACTTTAAAAGTTCTGTTTTTTACGGCATTTACTTTGCTATCACCTCTAATTAACCCCCCCAAAAGAACCTAAAGTTTTCAGGAGATAAATTTTTAGTATATTTTAGAGAAATATTCTGCCAATTTCAAGTAAGTAAAATATTCTGCCAATTTCAAATAATAGAAAATGAAAACAGAAAATAATGTTATGTGTATGAGAGCTAAGATTACAATAAAAATAGAATTCAAAAATAATTTTTAAGCCAGAATTATGCTGAATAAGACAAGCGATCTTATTGTTCTTGCACCTGTTTGATGATAGTTAATGATAACATGTTTCTGTTTTTACCTAAATTTTGAAATGTTATGTATTAATTCCTTTTTAAAAAATATCAAAGTTTGCATTAAATGAGAATTCCACTGTGAACTCATATAGAAGTATAGAACTTATTATCCAGGTAAATTTCTATAAATAGCAGATATGTATTACCTTTTCCCAATTCATATAATCTCTATATTTTAATGTTGACTGATATAATTTCAAACACTCTTTGCCTCAAAGCAACTAGTAGTAAGGTATATACAGGATCATAATTCAGCCCACAACAATACAAGACATTTTTTATATAAACACAAATTATCTCTAAACATAAATTGATCTGCAGGAAATCAAGATACATTTCCTAATACTAAAATTTACTTAAAGATAATTTTCACTTTTTTTCTATGACCCATATTAGCAACATTTTACACCATGTAATAATAAGGGAAAGATAAACATAGTGATAAATATATGAAAAACATACCTAATAAGACAGCTCTAAATCATATTTCTTTAAAGGGGGACTAAATCTTCTCATTAATATTTTAAAGAGAAATATGATTATTTTAAAGTAAAAAATAAAGTTTCACTCTAGATTACTTTAGACTAACATATGAAGCAAAATAATATTTAGGACAGTGATAATAGGATTTCTTAAAATGAAACAAAGCAACCGAAATCCTTCCTACTTTTCTGCGTTTAAATACTCTGCAATGTGTCTATTTTTAATGTCTAAAGGTATTGCTGAAAATGGCTATATAAAATCTGAGGTTGTTAATATCTGATTACTGTAGTATTTCATCGCAACTTAAGAATTTAACTCTTAAAATACTGGAGCAAAAAATAACGTATCGGCTTACATCACCAAATTCAGTTATAGTAAAATCAAAATCAACAGTTCCAAATATTGAGTGTAAGGTGCCTTTCAGCTTCAAAAGTTCTTTCATGAAAAATCATTTTTAGTTGCAAAAAGCAATTGAATACAATTATCTAAAGTTATCCAGTCATGTATATATACCAAACATTTCTTTAAAACATTTGTTAGAAATACTATCAAGGTGTTAATAAATTTTTAAAATTATAATAAATGTTAATATTTTTTAGAATCCCAAACACCATAGTTAAAAATTGTGTTCCTAGTTAAAAATGTGAAGCTTAATTGTGCATACAACGAAACTTCTAGAAAACTTCATTACTTACTGTTCACTGAGTATTACTTACAGAGATTAACAGTTTTAAGAATTCATCTGTTATTTATCCTGAAGTGTTTTGAATAACCCTTTCGTACTGTATACATCTCAATGAGATGACCACCCCTACTCTGGTCTGCTGAGAAAAACAGAAAAAAAAAATCGGTAAATTTTCTTTCAGGTTGTTCTTGTTCTAACCTATTTTAGGTGGCCACAGCAGGAATTCATAATGATAAAAAGCAACAATATCGGGAAAATTTTTTATATGCTTGTTTCATATTTACTGTATAAAGTCATTTTGACATGTCTACACAACTGGTTGTGGCAGGTTTCAGACATGATTTCTAATCAAAAAAAAAAAAAAAGAAAGAAAGAAAAAAAAAAATTGCTCCAGGTTCTTTACAGAAAGCTTGCCGCTGGGAAGTTGATTTTGGCCAAGTGCCAAAATCATGTGCAAAGGGGCCTCATTAGGGATTCATGGCAGCCTTCAGCGCTAACAAAAAATGTGACCCAACAGGCTAAATCAGCGACTAAAATTAAAAAGTAAGAGACAAAGACAACTTACTTAATATTCCTTCCAAAGCAACATTAAACTTTTTTTGGTAATTAAACCCTTGTTAGTCTAATGCAGCGTTCCTCTGTCCTCAAATGATTGTACAATTACTCTTTAAAACTTGTCAATTTCCCTTCTAAATACACTTTCTTTCTGTGGCAGTTTACAAAGATTTTGCTATAAAGTAAAACTCTATATCCACTATAATCAGTTCAATAGCAGAAAACAAAATCGTAAAAATGCAGACCACAGTATTCCCTTAAGATTTAAACAAACAAACAAAAAATAAGCAAACAATAGTCAGTACCTTTTAAACTTCTACAAAAGTGAACATGCACACTCCAAAGTCACGTCGATGGTGAGGAATCATTCTCACCGCCCAACTTTTCCCCCAAAAAGTAGATTTGATATGTAGCCTTACCTAGATGTCTTCTGGCTTTTCTGCAGATCAAAAAGTTTCCTGCCTAAGCACACAGATATTCTTTCACAAGCCATAAAGGCCCTTTTATGAATCCAGCACTGTAACAGGCTGCTTTCCACACCACGTTGAGAGCCCAGTGCGTCAGCTCTCAAGATAAAATACATTGCTAATACACAATTAGTGGGAGAGGTTGTCTATTGGAGAATTTATCTTAACGAAAGAAGGAAAAAGAAGGTTTTTTTTTTTTTTCTTTTTTTTTTTTTTTTTTTTTTTTTTTTTTTTTTGGAAAAAGCAAAGAGGGTGCGGTCAGATGTTAGCTTTTGCCTGAGAAAAGGGCCCTACACTGCACTAGTACCTAAATACTAGCAGAAGCTGCCTGGGAAGAGAGCCAATGGAAGGACTTTGTTTGACCCAGCTGCCAATCTCCCCTGAAGCCGTGCGCCAGACTAAACACTCACACTATTTTAACTCAAATCAGGCTACAGCAGCTGTTTGCTTTCCGGCTCTGAGCTCTGCACCCACCATGGCCTGTGCAGTTCACCCGGCGCGCTCTGCTCACTGCCTGGCTGAAATCTGTTCCGGGTTGGGATTTGTCATTGGAGAGCGAATTTTAACCCTATTCCTCGTGGTAACTATGGACTGTGTTGTTCTGCATTTGGATCTGGTGATTTGGGATAATTTTATGATCTTTTAAAAGAAGAGTGATATTTCTTTCATAACATAACATAACATAACTGAGATTTGAGGGATTCATGCATTTCTTTGAAACTCTAAGCCTAAACTCTTTTGATATGTGCAAATTAACACTAAAATCGCCCTTACGTGTGACAGTAACAAGGCCCTGACCAGGCATCTCCACAAAGATGGTACCTATTCACCCTAATGCAAACTTCTTCAAGCCTGGCAAGATAACAGGTTGACATCACAGGACTGGAGAGACTCACATCATTCATTCTAAGAGTTAGTACTGACTTGCTTCATGCTCTGGAAAGTTTCTCCAGAAGCAACACTGAGGCACCCCAGCAGTTTGTTTTCCTTATATGAGAAAGTACCAAGTGACCCAATTTACCTTTCTTAAATTTCTTAACTATTAGGCTGAGTGTAAAAATTATAACCTGAATTGTAAAACATTAAAATTTGCCCACTGGTAGTCTAAAGTGGAAAGGAAAGAGAAGTTAGTCAGGGAAGTACAGTTTAAGTAATCATCAAAGTTACCTGAAGTAGGAGGGAGCAGATTTGATAACAAAGATCTATTGCACACTAAATAGGAGCCAAGCATTGTATATGTGGAGAAATAAATCAGTAAGTCATTCAACGTGTGGAAGAGAGAGAAGTTAAGAGGAGTATGATAACATGGCTGTCACCAAGGTATACTTACTAAATATATATATATTATATATTACTTACTAAATATATATATATTATATATATATATAAAATTCCTAATTAGGGACCATGGTGGTGAGAGAAGACAGCATCTTTTCATTTAGGGATTTTGGTTTTGCTGTTGCATTGGGGTAGAAAGATGTCTCTTAATTTAGGGCAAATAGCCAGTAACACTTGTTTTATTTTTAACTTAAATAATTTGGTTCACTCTGTAGTTGGAAGATGAGCAAAAAAGAAATGTTTTCCAAGTACTGTGAAAGTATGTCCAGGAACGTTTTCAAAAAGTTGTTTCTTCTGTTTTAAGCCGAGGTTACTTTGTTTCTCTTCCTGCCCCCAAATGATATGTCTGTTTTCTTATCTTAGAAACTAGAGATCTAAATTACAAAAATTGTAATTTTATAATAAAATGTTATTTCCTCAGATGAGAAGTGGTGAATATGGTTATAGAGAAGTTGAACTATTAGGTTTTATGGGTGCACATAAACTGAAAGACCCAATTCATTAAAAATGCCTGTCAAGATAATATTGTATAACAGGTGGGTTACTGTCCTTGTTCTGACAATAATACATGTATAAACCCAAAAGATTCCCACTGGATCTGGCTTTCTACATAGCAGAGTATAGTTTGATGCTCAAAATTCTTATGGAATCAAATAAAATGCTGGGAAATGGTTTCTTTTGTGTCCTTTTCATTCAACTCAAGAAAATATTCAACACGTTTCTCTGAATGGTCTATTACAAACTACCCAAGTATGTACTGACTGCTTCCTGCTCTGGAAAGTTCCTCTAGAAACAACACTGAGCACAGCTTTAAATGGGGATACCGTAGTAGCTTTTGTTCATCTCAGTAATTACTTCTCTTATACTGCATTCTGAGTTTCGGTCTTCTCCTTAGATGCCTGTGCCCAAAGTGGTTAGTACACATCATGAGTTTTATGGGCTGAATTGTGTGTTCTCCTTCCCGCATTTCATATGTTGAAGTCCTCACTGCCAGGACCCAGAATGTGACTGTATTTGGAGATAGGAACTTGAAAGAGATAATTTTGTTAAATGAGGTCATTAGGGTAGGCCCTGATCCAATAGGACTAGTGAGTGTCCTTATAAGAAGAGATTAGGACACAGATACACACAAAGGGAAGATCATGTGAAGGCCCAGGAAGAAGTTTATCTGCAGCCAAGGAGAGGGGTTCAGAGGAAACCAAAGCTGCAGGCCCTTGATCTTGGACCTGTAGCTGCCAGGATTGTGAAAAAATAAAAAGTCATCCAGTTTGTGGTTTTGTTATGGCAACCTGAGAAAACTAATACAATGTCTAAGTAAAAAGGAGAGAAAAATTGTCTTATTGTTGGAATACAATTTGTATCTATACTCAGGTGTTTGATTTTGTCCAAGACATGAAGGAAGTGTACATTATTCCTATCTTCCAGAAAAGAGGAAAAACTACATGTATGCTGAAGTTTTAGCTAAAAGCCATACATGATGTTGAGACTGAAGGACAATATAACACAATTGCCACCTTCCGCGGTGCTTCTCATTTCATATTTTGAACAGGAATATTGTGCTTAAGTCATTGTCTGGTATACAGTAAAACAGTAGGTGCACGATTAATATGAACAAACTTTACAAAGAATTATGGAATAAATAGGTGCCTAGTTATTCCTTTAGGACAATAAAAATGGTGTGTAAACCTTTGGTTTTGCAGACAGTTTTGATGCAGGAGCAATTATAATCAAGCACTGATAGTAGGTAAAAATTTCATATCAAGAGTTAGAAACACAAAAGGTTAGTCTTTGTAAGGGGAGAGTTCAGATAACTTTTATAAAGGGAAGAGACCTTAAAAAAAGAAGAAAGAGAAATGTGGATGACTTGCAAGAGAGTCTGGGAAAAGGTAAATGAAGTGAGACTGAAGGTAATCAGAGATAAAACAAGTCAAGGGTTAATCAGAATATCCCCAAGGAAAACCATATTTGCCCAGATAATTAAGGGATGGACACTCCACTTACATGAAGTTGGAAGCAGTAAGATAACAATGAGAAATGGATCAGTGTAGGAATACTTTTACCATTGTGGTAGGCAGAATTTTGAGATGGCCCCCAAGATTCCCACTCCATAATATACACTTATATAATGCTTCCACAGAGGTTGGGCAGAGCCTGTGAATATGTTGTGAATATGATGAGATAGTTGCTCTTGGTTAGGTTATCAATCTCCAAATAAGGGTCAAAGAGATCTCCATGTAAAGTTAGTAGAGGGAGAAAGAAGAAGCCAGTAGTAAACTAACACACTTGACCAGAAAATGTAAGGTAAAGGTGATAGGAATTACCACTGCGATGAGATACCGTTTTACCTCATGACAATTCCCACCAGCTGACATGTGGATGCGACCATTCATTCATCTTTTGATTCACTCATCCTCTCAAAAATTCTATTTAATGCCTACTTCTGGTGGGGCACTGGGGCTAAGTGTTGTGTAGGATAAAAAACACAGCCCCAGATGTCATATTTTAGATGGTCTAATAAGCAAACCGAAAGGCAAACAGCCAATTCTAAAGAGAATGCCACTGTGTTGAGCATTTCAGAATGCTGGGGTGGTAATGTCCAATGGTGTTGTGAATGTGATAGAATGTTTCAAAAATATTGATAATTATCACATATTTGAGTATGTAAAATAAAGGAGCTACTGTGAAAGACATTATCATGAAAAAGGACATATTTTTTGTCCCCCTACAGCATCACGATATTATTGCCTAAAAGTGCCTATATATATGTCATTGTGTGAAATTATGACTGTTAGTTTCTCTTATTTTTTTTTGGTAAACATTTTCCTTATTATTTCCCATGCTAATTGAGACCAGAATGACCGCGTACCCTTTTAAATGCTAACATTTAAAATAAAATCCAAGATAGAATCATTGTCCACAAAAGCCCATTATTACTCCAAAGTAAATTGCAAACTATACTATAACGGCTGTCTCTTTAAGCAAGATATACTACTACTAATAACACAGTACTTTGAACACCTGTTTCCTAATGAGAATACCCATAAAACACTGAGAAACAATTTCAAATAAATGTTAAATGTAAATTGAATGTGATCATGGAAAACTCAAATTATTATAAGGAAAATGATCTTAAATGACCATGTAAATAGTTTCCATGAAGATCATTAGCAAATATTTAAAATAAAACATATTGTCAACATACAATTCTTAAAATAGAAAGTTTGTTTTGTTTTTTTTAAACTTCTTACCTGGGGTAGCAAATGGAGGTGCACACAGACACATAGTACAAATACGGACAAACAAATGTGGTGCAGTTAACAAATGTGGAAAGCTGATAACCCATTCTTATTAGTCTGATTAAAATTTCAAAATGACTTCACATTTCCACTGTAAGTTTCTTTTCTAAAAAACATTTCCTGCTTCATTCCATTCTCTAGATCTATAAATCTGGTTTTGAGTGAATCTCTGTGGGTATTTCTATATTTTATCAAGTATATTTTATTTTTTTAAAGATTTTATTTATTTATTTGGAGAGAGAGAGAGAGAGAGAGGGAGAGCACAGAGGCAGAGGGAAGGGAAGAGGCAGACTCCCCGCTGAGCTGGGAGCCTGACACGGGACTTGATCCCAGGACCCTGGGATCATGACCTGAGCTGAAGGCAGATGCTTAACTGACTGAGCCACCAAGGCACCCCTTATCAAGTATATTTTATAGTTTCAGGAGAATTAAGAACAATCTAAATATACACAAGAAGACATAGATAACATGAATAGCTCTATATCTAGAAATAAATTGAATTAATAATCAATAATCTTTCCCCAAAGAAATCACCAGACCCAAATAATTTTACAAGCGATTTCTACCAAACATTTAAGGAAGATATGATACCAGTTCTCCACAATCTCTTTCAAAAGACAAAATTAGAGGAATGTTACTCAGCTCATTCAGCAAGGCCAGCATTAATCTAATGCCAAAACTAGATTAAAAACAAAAATTACAGACCTGTGTCTCTCATGAACATAGACACCAAAAACCTCCATAAAATACAAACAAGTCAAATTCGGCAATGTATGAAAAGAATTATACACTTTGACCAAGTGGTTATTTATTCCATGAATGCAAGGCTGGTT